CTCAAGGCTAGCACTCTACCACTTGAGCCACAGCACCACTTTTCCTTTTTGCTTATGTGGTGCTGAGGAATCGAACCCAGGGCCTCAGGCATGCAAGGCAAGTGCTCTACCACTGAGCCACCTTCCCAGCCCTATCCCTGAATTTCTTTTGCTCAAGGATAATGCTCTACCATTTGAGCCACATTCCTATTTCCAGCTTTTCTTTTTGAGTAGTGAGTGGATGTAAGAGTCTCATGGGGACTTTTCTGCCTGGGTTGCTTTGAACCTTGATCTTCAGATCTTGACCTCTTGAGTACCTAGATGTGAGCCACTGATGTCTGGCTCTTTTAATTTTTTAATGACACTTGTTTTACACATTGAAAACTATTTGTGTAATGAAATATCTTTCTAAAAACAGCTCTTCTAAAGTAGTTATTTCCCAAAATAAGAATACCTAGATTGGGGCTGGGAAGGTGGCTCAGTGGTAGAGCGCTTGCCTTGCATGCCAGAGGCCCTGGGTTTGATTCCTCAGCACCACATAAGCTAAAAGAAAAAAGCCGGAAGTGGCGTCGTGGCTCAAGTGGTAGAGCGCTAGCCTTGAGCTGAAGAGCTGAGGGACAGCGCTCAGGCCCAGTGTTCAGGCCCCAGGACCGGACCCAAAAAAAAAAAAAGAATACCTAGATTATACAATCCTTATTATGTTTCCTTCAAAAATATATCACCCCTCCACTGCCAATATTCGATGGCTTTACATAATGGTTTTATAGTTTACAGCTTCTTTCTACTGACCCATCTAACCATCATTTTTTAAAGAATAATTTTTTATTGAGATTAAGTGATTACATAATTTTAACAGTATTGTAGGATAGTGACAGTTAAAAGTCACAAACACATTTTGACCTTCACAAGACAAATTGTCGTTATCTTGGTCTATAAAGTTTGTGAATTCTATAAGCTTTGACAACACAACTATTTCTTCCATGTTGGGTGATAGTACATTTCTTTCCTTTTGCTTAGTGTAAGCCGTTCCCTTTTTCCCTCTCATTGCCTTCCCTCCCACTGCTGCCCTTGAGGTGCTTAGTTCATTTCCATCAATGTCCAGTGCAGCTGATGGGCCCCTCTGTTGTATATATCGCCCCCCCCGCCCCCACTCCGGCAAAACCATCATTTTGATTATAATAACACAGTACCTTTTTTAAATCGGAGCTGAGCCATGTCATAGCGACCATAATCTCGCAGAAGCATCATCCCTCCAGGCTTTAGAAGTTTGCTCAGTCTACAGATAGCTTTCTGCATCCTGAGGGGCAGTAAAGCATGATGAGATCAGCCTTCTTAGGGCAGAGTTCCTTTTCCCTATAGCACATCCAAACCCTCACACCAGCATGGACACGGTAACTCCTGTCTCACTTTAGTGGGAATAGGTCCAAGACAACCTGTTCCACTGTAGGGCTCTGTGGTGGGGAAAATTCCACATTCTTTTTTTCTGTGCCAACAATGGGGCTTGAACCCCAGATCTGCACACTGTCCTTGAGCTCCTTTTTGCTCAAGACTAGCACTGTACTACTTGAGCCACAGTAACACCTCTGGCTTGTTCTGAGTAGTTTACTGATGATGAGTTTCACGGACTTTCCTGCTTGGACTGGCTTCAAACCATGACCCTCGGCCCATAGCCTCCTGAGAAGCTAGGATTACAGGCATGAGCCACCAGCGCCTGGCTTCCACATTCTTTATTTAGCCTATAGCCTCCTGATCTTGGGATCGCCAACTGTTCTTGCCCTGTGCTTCTGTGGAAGTCTGAGAGCCTTAACCATCCACTGTGGGGAACACCAGCAATTCATCTGCCCCAGTAGCCAGCACAAAACAACCTCAAAAAGTTATATGGTGATACAATCAGGATGCAAACAAGTACTACAGTGCCTTACTTTTACAACTGCTCTGCTACGGTCTGGATCTAGAATGTCCTCCACTGACC